AAAAAAAAAAAAAGTGGGGTGGTGTCCTTATTTCCTGGGGATACATAATGAAGTTTGGAGTGAACTCACATCTTTAATTTTAAATATTATTGTGAAAAATGAAAAGAGTGAAAAAGAAAGTAATAGAAGGAAAAAGTGATGAAATCAATAATGTGGAATTAAATATGTAGGATTTTATACAACTATGTTCTCTACTTTTGTGAATGTTTGGGCATTTTCAAATTAAAAATAATATGCTTTTTTTTCTTTTTAAAGATTGATTTATTTATGCATACAGAATTGGGGTACAGGCCAGAGGTGCAGGGGAGGTGAGAGGATTCACCAGAGACAGAGCGGGGAGCAGGAAAGGTGGATAGACTGAGATATACTGCTGAGGGGGGCAGCAGCAAGACAGGAGAGGTCTGCTGTGCCATGTGGGTCACTCCCTGGCCGGGGATCGACCTCGTACTGAAGCACCTGCAGCCAGCTTCTAGCTTCGTAGTGCTGTGCTTCAAACCCTTGTGCCACAAGGTAGGGTCTGATATGATGTTCTTCTGCTAAGCCTGAATCCTAGTAACTCCCAGAGCGTCTTCCCCACCTGCCCTGAAAGGTTTCCCATGTGCTCCCCGCACGGATGCCCTCCTATTGCCTGGAAGCATATCCTAGAGATATCACAGTCACAGGGAGCCCATTATTCCCTCCTCTGCCCTACTGGCAAATTTCCTATAGTTAGGATCCCTCCTAGCTGTGATTCACAACTCTGGGAGACCAGGGAGCCTTGAAGAGTAAACATATTTTGAATAGATCTGATAATAAACAAAAGTAATTCAAAATAATGGGATCTTACTTTAAGTGTCTCTGTCAGATGCTCCTGCAAAAGTACAATTCAATCAAGGGAGAAAACTGGCCTCTATCCTGGAAAGCAGGAGGCAAGGAATGTGAGGTGACCCTATTCCATTCCATTCCCTGTGTCTTTCAGGATAACCTTCAGCCTGGAAGAAAGACCACCAGGAGGGCCCTCCCCGTGGTGCAGCAGGCTGGAGTGCAGCTATGAGTTGGATCTCTGCCAGGGAGGTGACCCACATGTGACATAACTCTCACATCTCACCTGCTGCTCCCCTCAGCAGTGTACCTTGTCTGTCTGCCTGTTCTGCTCCCCACTCTGTCCCTGGTGAATCCTCTCACCCCCCCCCTCCTCTGGCCTACACCCCAGTTCTTGTGTGCATGAATAAACAAATCTTTAAAAAAAAATGTCCCCAGTACTGCTGGTAAGTGGCAAAGGTGAGCGCTCATTTCCAAGGCCGTAGTTCTTAACCCTTCCCAGCTGCTGAACTGCAGCTATATTTCCCCCCCAAGAAATTGGGAGATTGTGAAGCTCTGTGACTTCCCTGAGGGCACACAGCTGGTTAAGTGGCTGGGGTGGGATTTGAGCTCAGTGGGTCTGGCAAGCCGAGTTCAAGTCCTTTGCACCACACTGCCTCCCTCAGGTGTCTGGGCCTTACTGACTCTGGCCTGGGGGTCACTAGGAGTGAGAGGAGGGACGCCGGGCCCAATTTTGCTTAGGGTAGCGGTGTTCCCGCGGGTGCTGCAGCCCCGGGCTGTGCGGGCCAGCGGGCATTTTCCCGGGCACAACTGTGTCTACAACCTAGGGCGCCGAGCAAGCGCGGGTAAGTGGATCTTTCTTACGGGGTGGCACGTTAGGTTTCGGGGAGTGGAAGGAGAAATGTCAGCGCGCGCAGCGAGCG